ACGAGCGGGGAAAAGTAGTAAGAGCAAGCTTACAATTACGAAGTTCAAGTCTCCAGAGTCAGTTGATGGATGGGAAGTTCGTCAGGGGACTTACTTCCAGGATGTGGTTTCTTCCAAGTATGATGGAGGAATGGATGCTAAGTTTGAGTTCACTTTTACCGGAGATGCTGTTTTCTCAGGTAAAGAAGTCCTCTAATGGGCATTTGGATGCTAAATAACAACCGCTTAATAATCATTTTGACTCTGTTCTTTGCTCCATTGTAGGATATGTTTTCACCAGGGGAGGGTATGTTGACCTGTCGAAGAAACTTTCACTTCCTTTGGGTCGTACTCTTGACAGGTATGCCATATTTGCATTCTCAAGCTTATTAGAAGCTGGTTATGGTAGATTCTGTATAGAAACATCCATTACCTAAACTGCTATGGCTTATCCGCTTCCATTATCTATATTTCCAATATACAGGTATGAAGGTCTAGTTCTTTCTGTTGGCGGGAATGGAAGGTCTTACATATTAATTCTTGAAGCTGGTCCATTAGCAGATACATCTCAAAGTAAATTATACTTTTCTAGATTCAGCACAAAAGCAGGATTCTGTAGGGTAAGTATCTATTTGCTGTGTTTCTTTTGGGTATAGTTGCAATGTATGCTGTCCCTTATTCTCGTAATCTGTCATTGGCAGGTCAGAGTACCATTTTCATCATTCCGCCCCGTGAAACCAGATGATCCACCATTAGACCCATTCCTAGTACATACATTAACCATACGTTTTGAGCCCAGAAGACAGGTTTGTTCATTTTCTGCTCATAAGAGAATTTGGTAAATTTGGTTCATATGTTTGCCCCTTGCTGCCTTGTTTCATAATTTAAATGGATAGGTGATTTTTACTTGCATTACTATTTCTTCTACAATGTTGGGGAGGATAATCTCCCATTTGTTATTCTAATCCAAATCACTTATTCTAAATCCGCAAACCCCAATGCAACTTAAAACTATTTTTTCGAACATTTGATGAAATGCTTTTCTGCTTGTCTTTTCTGAATCTATTTATTTTTTGTGGCACAGAAAGCTGTTGAATCACGTACAGGGGTGAAGCAAGACCCAAGAAGCTTTAAGCTTATTCTGGAATACATAAAAGCTTTGCCAGTAAGTCTTTAAATTCGAGTTATGCTGATTGTGCTGTCAGTTTATATTTTATAATTCTAGTTATGTTATGTTCTGCTGTGTTAGAACTCTCTCTCTCTCTCTCTCTCTCTCATAACGAAATAGATTCACATACATGTCATTTGCAAAGGAAAATTCTATATGATGAAGTCACTTAAAAAGTTATGCATTATTCATTTGAAAATCTCAATGCCAAATAATTGTTTAACCCTTTCAGTCTTTCGCCAGATCAAAGTGACAAGATAGGATTTACCAGAACTTATAGTCACTTGACTATCAATGTCTTGCTAATGGTGCTTGGTTTTCACATTTACATCATAAGAGCCATTGTCTTGATCAATGTCGTTGTAAACCAAAAGTCATACCTTTTCAAAACTGATTATTATGAACCCATTTCTGGTAGTCCGAGTTTGAGGAAATTTTCGAGTCATTTTATTAATGACTGGTGTGCTGACATTGGCGTTCAATGACCATATATGTGTGGAGCCTTCTTCATTATTGGCTTGCTTGAAAATTATATTGCTGCGGTTTCCTGGAATTTTCCCATTTGAAGATTATGCAACTACATATTCAGTGTGGTTAATGAGATGGAAAAAAAAGTTTAATTAGTGTTAAGATATGGATAGTAAAGAACATGCATAATGATATGTCGTGTATATGGGATTGCATAAATATATTCACGGCCTTAAATAAATTTGAATGGGATGTTTTGCAGACTGGACAAGAAACGGACTTCATTTTAGTTTCATGTACGGGATCAGGAATAGAACCAACTAGAAGGGAGCAGGTTCTTAAAGCCAAGAGGGTTAGCTCTTTCTTTTTCTATTTTTGATTTGATTAAGTGTGAATTTTTTTTTTTCATTATTATTTCCAGATGTGTCGCCTTTTTTTTATTTTAGATCTTATAACATAGCTAATTCATTTAACGTTGAAATTTCTCCAGGCTGGGGAAGAGTCCTTGCGAAAATCAGGACTTGGATACACAATCATTCGTCCTGGTCCCCTAAAGGTGGAGTTCTTACTCTAAAATTCATGGCTTAGTAATCATTTGGTAATGCTAAATGACATTACGCATATATAGGTTCTGTTAATAGCTTATTTATCATTTCTGCTGCAAAGCACAGACAATGTACTTTCACTTTTTGTTCTTTTTCCATCTGATGGAAACCAGTTTGGTTTATACAGGAAGAACCAGGTGGACAACGTGCTCTCATATTTGATCAAGGAAACAGGATTTCTCAGGTTAGAATGATTGACTTTCAAAAAACCTTGCTACGGCTACTAATTGAAATTTTCTTGAATCCCTTTTTACTGGACGATAAAAAGATTTATCTTTTGACTTATATATAACATCATTGAACATCTAACCTCAACTACCATTTCTAAATTAGGGGATCAGCTGTGCTGATGTAGCTGACATCTGTGTGAAGGCATTGCATGATTCAACTGCAAGGAACAAAAGTTTTGATGTGGGTGACAATCTATTTGCCTTTACTATATTACTTTCAACTGACATATACTAAACTGGTCTTCAAATTTTCTAGGTATGCTATGAATACATTGCCGATCAAGGGAAAGAACTTTATGAGCTGGTAAGGACCATTAAAAATCAATCATCAGATTCTGTATATCAAAAAGAAGGCTTTTTATCATAAATGGTCCTTAACGTTTACGATTTTATCACGAATGGTCATTGAGGTTTTTTTGTGACACTAATAATCCTTAACGTTAGTGCTTTTTATAACAAATGGTCCCTCCGTTAAAAATTATGTTAAGTGTAATGAGTCGATCCTACATGTCCAATCACATCGTGACATGTGGATTAAATAAATAAAGAAATAATCTTTTTTTTATTTTATGAAAATCCATTCTCTCTCTGTCTCTCTCCCCCTCCCCTCTGCCCTCTCTCCTCCCTGTAGCCCTCTCCCTCTATTTTTTTTTTCCTTGACTCTACAGCCCGACCACCCCACCCCTCTCCCTCTGTATTTTTTGCAAAATAATCACTTGCACAAGGTAGTTTCACATTTCCTTTTACACAAATATTTATTCAAACAACTTAAAATAATTAAAAACAGAGGGGGAGAGAAAATACAGTGGGAGAGGGTAGGGGAGTTGGGCGTGGGTTGCGGCTTGGGGGTGGCTGTGTCAAAAAAACAGAGACCAATAAAAGAATCCCAAAGATCATTTTTTCTTGCAGGTGGCAGGCAATGGGCAAGAAAAAAACAAAGGGGGATTGTGGGTTATGATTTATATACCCCTATACAAAGATGGAGAAAAATATATGGGTTATATTATTATTTTTACAGAGGGAGAAGGAGAGGACAGGGGGCAGAGAGGGAGAGAGATGGAGTAAAGGGGGATGAAAAGTTGTAGAAAAAAAAAAAAAAATTCTTATGAAAAAAATTATTTAATTATTTTTTCATCCACATGTCACAATATGATTGGACATATGGGCTCCACTTGTCTTCCACATCAGACACTTTAACAGAATTTTTAACGAAGGGGCTATTTGTGATAAAAAGCCCTAACGTTAATGACTATTAGTGTCACAAAAAAACCTCAAGGATCATTCATGATAAAATCTTAAACGTTAAGTACCATTTGTGATAAAAAGCCCAAAAAGAAATACATATCCTCCTTTTGTATGTAAACTTGTAACCACTTGAATTCTCACATGTCTATTCCCTCTGCAGGTAGCACATCTGCCTGACAAAGCCAATAACTATCTGACACCGGCACTGTCGGTTCTAGAGAAGAATACCTGATCATGCTGAGCATGGATGATGTATGTTAGTAAGATAAGAGTACATTTGTAAAGCTGCATATAGAGCATATCTTTTTATCTTCGCAACCCAGATACAGGCAATTGTCTTTCCATAGCTCTCTCGTGAACGTTTTCTTTCTGTAAAATTCATATGTCGATCCCCAGATGGGTGTGAATTTTTCATTGTCATGAATCAAGTCAAAAGTGTAAATAGCAAGCACTACAATTACATGCTTAGAAAGCTCAGGTTCTGATTAATGGTGACAAGACACAAAGATAGAAGTAAACAGTGAATGATTTGAGGTAAATGGAAGTTAAAACAGAATTTTCGATCTCATGCCGCCAGCAAGTAGTGGGTCAACCACTTTCTCCACCTTAAAAGAAAACACCAACGAAGATTAAGAAGAATATGTATTGATTTTAATTTGTTTTTATGTTTTGAATCTGAACTATAAATGAATGAAAAAATATATAGACAATCGAATAGAATATCAAATTGTCAAAACAAAACAAAAAAGGCTTTATATCCACTTTTATTATTATTATTATTATTATTATTTTACAATTGGATATTCTATCGCCTTTATATATAAAAAATGTGGTAAAAGTAGGATTATTGTTTTCTAAATGATATACCCACTCAGATCCCGAGCCTCCGCATTTAGCATCTACACATTTACACGCATTTAAAAAGATCTTAACCATTTAATTAACCTAATGAATTTGATCAATCCATGTCACAATAATTGTATTTGAAAAAACCCTCACCCCTTTGCACCGTTTTTAAGTTGATATCAACGGATTGGGTAACGTGAAAAGAAAAACAAAAAAACCAAGCTATTTTTCATAGTAAACTTTTTAAGTAAATTGTGAATACATGCAACCACCTCCAAACCATGCGTGTCAAAAATCACTATCAATCTTTTTTCTATATGAAGTCCAAGATATGTTAAATTTCAATTCCAATGGTAATTAATCCCAAAATCAAAACGGTAAAAGCACCCTAATTCCAAGTACTAATAAACAACTACTTGTTTCTCACATGAACACATATCTTGTTGAGGCCACAAGACTTGACACGTAGATCAGCATAGAAATGATTGTCTTGGCACAGCCCCATCTCACAGAGGCTGAAGGGATAAGGAAAATCTGAGAGAGAAGGCTCTCTCTCTCTCTCTCTCTCTCTCCCCCTCTCTCCTCCAACACAGTCAGTTGCGCTCTCTTCCTCTGAAATGAACCTACCAGAAAAACAGGTTTCAGAATCATTGCACTTAAGATGCTAATTTATGGCCCAAAAACTCCAACCCTTGTCCATAAAATCCCACAGCCCTTTGGAGGACAAGTCAACATTAGCACCAACAAGATTAATATAGCAAATGACATCAACATCAGATTCAGAAGAAGCACTTGTCATCTCACCAGAGCCACCACCAGCACCAACAGCAGCAGCAGCAGCAGAAGCAGAAGCAGAAGCATTCTCTTAGCAACTGCAGGCTTGCTTGCAGCTGCTGCAGTGATAGCTTCAGCTTCAGCTTCAGCAGCAATGGAGTCTCCTGAGAATTCTGAGACTCTCTCCAACATACCCCAGACTCTATCTGGTGAGTGTGCTTTGCCCACAGATTGCAAGAAGGCAAGAATTCAAAGACCAAAATCAAGAAAGGCAGAGTCTTGCACTATCAAATGTGTCACCACTTGCATCAGAGGAGGTGATGGCTCACCTGGTGAAGGCCCCTTCAATGTCAGAAGGTATATATAAATATATTATAATCATTTTCCATTGCATTAGCATTATTTTGAGTTACCATTTTGTGTTTTGATGCTGCAGGCCTCTGGTTGTTTTCAAGCAAGGATTCAGAAGTCGTCAATATTGGTACTTGCTCCTCTCTCTTTTCAGCTTACAAAACATAAGCAAGTTTTTATAGACTTATATGCCCTTCACTTCAGTTGCTTGCTGTCTCTAAATGCTTGGCACTCAACAATACTATTCTCATAAGCATCACTTCAATATAGAGATATTTATTCAAAAATCCATTACAAGCCAAGTTGATGCACAACCATTGAATTTTTCCTTGTGTATGCAACATGCTGCTTGATCATTCTTCTGAGATGCCACTGGCCACAGATATATAGTTGTGTTCTTACCCCAAATGTCTCGTGAGAAGCAGAGCTTCTCTTATTTCTGTTTTGTTTCTATTTTGGCATAATAGTTTCCTTGCATTGTTGACATAATATTTATATTTTACTTGAGTCGCAACTCTGAATTCTCAATTCTGTTTTCTTCAGTCTGATTCTTTGAGAAATTGGATTTCTTGCAGTTTGGTGGAGTGCTCAGATATTTGCAATTTGATTAAGGATGGTGACGATGGGCCTTGATTGATTTTTTTTAATTTTTTTTTAAAAAGATCTTTTTGTAACCGGAAATTGTATAGCCTTCAGTTTGATTTCTTGTAAAGGAAGCAAGAGATGTTCCTTTTTTTTTTCGGGGTTAAGAGTTTATGCGTTTTACTCAAATCAAATATTGTAAATTTAACCTTACCATGAAACTGTTAGTGTTTTCTACGCTTTTGGGAGGCAGAGTGATGAAGAAGAAAGAAGAATTTAGAGCAAGCAGAATTTGGCAAAATGACTCTGCTATAAGTGTAGCAGAGGAATGTTCTATTCCTTCAGACTCTCTCACTTGCTTACAACCTCACGCACAGTGTGAGGGAATATATGACCGTTAGGCTTAATAGCTGGATCCTTTACACATCAAAGAGATCTCAACTGTTCCTTTAGTCATCCAATAGAAAGCTTACACTTGGCTTACAAAGTGAGCTAAAACGAAACTATATTTAACTAACTAATAAATTTTCTTACTAGTTTATAAATCAACATTCCCCTTTAAATCATGAGCTAATTTAACTCCAAACATACTCCTGAGATAATTGAATCGATCCTTGGCTAATAGTTTGGTGAAGATGTCCGCAAGTTGTTAATTTGTAAGACAGTATACCAAGTCAATAATGCCTTCTTGTAGTGCATCTTTGATGAAGTGATGCCTTCTATCAATGTGCTTTGTCTTCTAATGAAATACAGGATTCTTGGTAATAGCAATTGCAGATGTATTGTCACACTGCAATGGAGTTGCTTCTGTCTGAAGTTCTCCAAAATCTTCTAACACAAATCTAAGCCAAATGGCCTGTGCATTAGCTTCTGAAGCACTGATGTACTCTGCCTTTGCAGTAGACAATGCAACACAGTTTTGCTTGATTGAAGCCCAAGAGAAAACACCACTGCCGAAGGAGAACGCATATCCAGATGTGCTCTTACTGTCTTCAATTGATCCACTCCAGTCACTTTCACATAAACCAATCAGCATTGCATTTTTCCTTTCACATACTCTATACCATAAAGAGCTTTGTGTAGCCTACACACTTTGTCTTCCTTGCCTTTGATCACAAAATCCTCTGGTTGGTCTATATAGACCTATTCTTGCAATACGCCATTTAGGAAAGCTGATTTTACATCAAACTGATACACCTTCCATTCTTTCTGAGCAGCCAAGGCAATGAGAGTTCTAATGGTGTCCAATCTAGCCATAGGAGCATAGGTTTCATTGTAGTCTAATCTAGGTTTCTGAACATACCCTTTGGCAACTAACCTTGCCTTATTCTTTTGGACTGAACCATCCAAGTTTAGCTTGGTTTTGTAGACCCACTTGACTCCAATAACTAGTTTCTCAGTTGGTCTGTTCACCAGTTCTCATATACTATTTTTCTCCATCATGTGCAATTCATCTTCCATAGCTTTCAGCCATGAACTGTCTTGAGCTGCCTTTGCATATTTCTCTGGGTCAATGATGCATAGATTGCACTGTGCAAGCACATCATCTAGTCTTCTCTATTTCAATGGTGAGTGATCATAAGTTTTAGTGTTCCTTCCTTCACTGCTTATGTCACTTGAGATGTGTTGTGATGGTGCTTGAGAAGATAATGGACTCCTTTCATATCGAATCAGAGTCTGAGGTGTTAGTGCAGTAGTCTCATCTTTATCTCCTGTAATGAAGCCATGCTCACTTTGACTTTCATCAGGAAGTGGTGTCACAGCTTTGCCAGAGTTTTCTGTCCAGGTCCAAGATCCCTCTTCTTCAAAAGTGACATCTCTTGACAATGTAAGTTTCTTGGAAATTGGATCAAATATCTTATATCCTTTCTCGCAAGTTGCATATCCTACAAACACTTATTTCACACTCATAGGCTCGAGTTTATGCCTTAGTTCATTGGACACATGAACATAACATACGGAGCCAAAAACTTTTAGATGAGCAATACCAGGCTTTCTTCCACTGTAAGCTTCGAAAGGTGTAACATTGTTCAAAGCCTTGGTAAGAAATCTGTTTAGAATATACACAGCTGTGTGAACAACTTCTGCCCAAAGGAAGTAGGGTATTTCCCTCTCATGTAGCATAGACTCGGACATTTCAACTACTGTTCTGTTCTTCCTTTCTACCACTCCATTTTGCTAAGAAGGGTAAGCCATTGTAAGTTGCCTTTGGATGCCATGATCTTCACAGAACTGTACAAACTCAGAAGATAGGAATTCTCCACCTCTGTCACTCCTCAAGCATTTCACCTTTTCTCCAGACTGCAACTCAGTCATGGAATTAAATTTCTTGACGCAATTGAAAGCTTCAGACTTGTTTCTCAAGAAATATACCCAAATCATCCTTGTGAAGTCATCAATGATCAACATAAAATATTTTTTGCCTGCAACATATTCAATTCTCATAGGTCCACAAAGGTCAATGTGAACTAACTCAAGTGAAATGGTTGCTCTTTGAGCTTGAGTTTTTGGAAAAACATTTCTGTGCTGTTTTCCAAATTGGCAGCCTTCACACACGCCATTTTGCTCTTCCACTTGAGGTAAGCCATGCACCATATCTTTGTCTCCCAACTGTTTTAGTCCTCTAACATGCAGATGTCGTAGCCTTTTATTCCAAGTCCATGTGCAATGAGTAATACTAGCCTTCATAAGTAGTTGATTCTCAGCTAGAAAAGACAAGGGATAGCACATGTTCTTCGTCATTGGAACTTTGATGATGAGACAGTTCATTGAAGAACTATCAAACACCTTGCACATTCCATCTCCAAACACCAAAAAATATCCATGCTCATCCATTTGCCCAACGCTCAGCAAATTCTCTCTCAAACCTGGAAGATACATCATTTCTCTAATGTACTTCCTTCCTTTTGTTGTGTCAATGACCAATGAACCCATGCTAGCCACATTCACAAGTGCACCAGTTGGCATTTGCACTTTTCCAGCCACATATGTCCTTACATCAACAAGCAAATCCACATTGCCAGTCATGTGGTTGCTGCAGCCACTGTCAATGTACCATTCTCCATTTGTTTTTGACTCAGTGGTAGAACAGTTTGCATAAAACAGATTTCCAGTCACCTCCATTTGACTTGCACAGTTTTCCTTCTGTACAGACTTTCCTATAGTACATTCTCTAGCCAAATGACCAAATCTGTCACAATTGTAACACTTTGGTTTGCCTTTATACCTGCATTCTCCAAAGTGATACTTGGAGCACACCTTGCACTGAGGTTTTACAGTTTCTTGGCATGTTGGTTGAGATAAACTGTGAGTCTGTGCAGGATTGTTCCATTAAGGCTTGCCTTTCAATTCCCATGGTTTGTCCTTAGGATTCCAATTTTTCTGAGACTTGGATGGACCAGATTGAGCTGCATTCTTATTCTGGCCTTTTGGACTCACAGTGAATGAGGCAAAAACCTTCTCAGTTGTATTTGCATTGTGCAACTCAAATCGTTGCTTTTGACTTTTCAGAATGGCAATTACTTCTTGCACTTGACTTTTCAGAATGGCAATTACTTCTTGCAATTCCACAGTCTCTAAACTATTAATGTTTTCAATCACGCAAATAGGGTCATATACCTTGCTAAGACTAATTAAGACCTTTTACACAAGCCTCTCATTCGAGAGCACTTCACCATATGTTTTCATTTGATTAATTAGATCATTCAGTCTAGTAAGGTAAGCAGATAAAGACTCATTATCATGCATTCTAGTGTATTCAAATTCACGTCTGAGATTTTAAAGTTTTACCTATCTAACATGATCTCCACTATGAAATTCCCCATACAACAGCTCCCAAGCTGCTTTAGCAGAGTCTGCTTTTGCAATTCATGGGAAAATCTTATCTGAGACTGCATTTTGGATAATACCCAAAGCTTTTGCATCCTTCATGAGAAGTGCTGCTGTTTTCTTATCATCTTCTTCTTCTGAGATTTCCTCAGATGCATTCTTCTTTTTCGAATCAGAGATTGGAATTCCTTTCTCTACTAGATTCCAAAGCCCATATGATTTGAATATGGTCACCATCTTAATCTTCCAAAACTTATAGTTTTCGCCAGAGAAAATCAGAGTTCTCACCTCTAAGCTTCCAGATCCAGCCATGGTTGATCTCAGATGCTTCCAAAAACGAGTTGTTTTCAGATAGAGGAGAAAACGAGCTCAAGCAGCTTCGTGAGCTTTGAACGAGCCTCCAAATTTTCCGATGATTTTTCTTTCATAGATTGAACTCCCAGCTTCAGATGATTGAACTTGGCTCTGAGGCCATGTTAGTGTTTTCTATGATTTTGGAAGGCAGAGTGATGAAGAAGAAAGAAGAATACTTGCTTACAACCTCATGCACATAGTGTGAGGGAATATATGATCGTTAGGCTTAATAGCTGGATCCTTTACACATCATCAAAGAGATCTCACCCCGTTCCTTTAGTCATCCAATAGAAAGCTTACACTTGGCTTACAAAGTGAGCTAAAACGAAACTATATTTAACTAACTAATAAATCTGCTTAAGAGTTTATAAATCAACAGAAACTGCATGTGTAAAGTGTACATTGCTATATATTTTGAGATTTTAAATGGAAACATAAATTTTTTAAAAAATAAGAATCGACCAAAATAAAAAACAAAATAAAAAAACAAAATGGTTCAGTTTATTTATGCAGCACAGGAGACTTAAACTTTGTACCAAGAGAGGTGGAATTGAAATAATACAATTGAACATGGATTAAAGCCTTGATGTAGAAAACAAAGATGAAGTGCGGGCATAGGGGACCTTCCCAATTCCACTACTTTGATGCCCTTCTCCTTCATCTCTTTCACCCTTCCTATCATCTTTTCCCCCTCCATTGTCATCAACTTCCTTTTCTGCCTCATCCACCATGTGTCATCATTTAAATGAAATTACTCTCATCCACCCTATATATAGAAATGTACACACTAGTATAATTGAATTTTATTATGTATGAATGGTTTAAGTAGTCATATCATGAGTTGATATAAAATTATTTGTACCATTTCAATTGACCGTCTTCTATACTTTTACGGAGGGTACACTCAAAATTTAACAAACAAATTCTAAATTATAAAAACTTAACAATAACAATTAAAATTGAAAATTAAATAAAAATAAAGAGACAAACTTACTAAGATTGAAGAACCCATTGAAAATATGTTGATACAATTTCGGAGAGGAAGAGAGTCACTTATTTTTTGGTTCTCTCGTGCTTTTAGGCTTTTAGGGCTTTTTTTTTTTCGTTTCGCTTGGCTTGCTTCCTGGTTGGAGGCTTATATTCTATTATTTTCGTTGGTTTTTTTGGGCTTAGTGGATTCCTTATCCACTCCTTGTGTGTGGGGTTAAAGATGGCTAAGTGGGTAGCCTTCTTTTTATATAGAGTGATAGGCTGACTTATGTATAGAGGGGTAGGTTGACTTGGTTAGTTGTACCGGAATGAGTGAATTCTGACCTTTGATGCATTGTGGGGGACTAATTTTAGCACCGGTCGTGTTAGGTATATGTATACTCTATTGTTTGATACTATTTTATCACTATAAACATATGATTAGTCTTGCGTTTGTTAGAGTTTTCTCGATTGTAAAAACTATGCACAAATAAACACATTTTTGTTGATAAAAGCACACAATGTAGGAATGCCAAATATCAGCATTGATTATTACATAAAAACCAAATTATGCAACATTGCCCTCTAATATACCTAATAACAATAATAATATCATCCCTTTAATATACTAAGTTACCTAATTTTATGCATTAATTTTCCTATTAGCAAAATTTAGCACTGCTCGTGTTAGGTACATGTATACTCTATTGTTTGACCCTAATTTATCACTATAAACATATGATTAGTCTTGTGTTTGTTAGAGTTTTCTCGATTATAAAAACTATGCAAAAATGGACACATTCTTATTGATAAAAGCACACAATGTGGGAATGCCAAATATCGACATCGATTATTACTTAAAAACCAAATTATGCAACATTACCCTATAATAATAATAATAATAATAATATCATCCCTTTACTATACTATGTTACCTAATTTTATGCATTAATTTTCCTAGTATCACAATTTTAGCACCGCTCGTGTTAGATACATGTCATACTCTTTTGTTTGACCCTATCTGATCACTATAAACATATGATTAGTCTTGTGTTTGTTAAAGTTTTCTTGGTTGTAAAAATTATGCAAAAATAGACACATTCTTGTTGATAAAAGCACACAATGCGGGAATGCCAAAGATTGGCATTGATTATTACATAAAAACCAAAGTATGTGACATTACCCTCTAATATAACTAATAATAATAATAATAATACCATCCCTTTACTATACTAAGCTACCTAATTTTATGCATTAATTTTCCTAGTATCATAATTTTAGCACTGCTCGTGTTAGGTACATGTCATACTCTATTGTTTGACCCTATTTGATCACTACAAGCATATGATTAGTCTTGTATTTGTTAGAGTTTTCTTGATTTTAAAAATTATGCAAAAATAGACACATTCTTGATGATGAGAGCACACAATGTGGGAACACCAAATATCGACATTAATAATTACCTAAAAACCAAATTGTGCTACATTACACTCTAATATGCCTAATAATAAAAATAAAAATAATATCGTCCCTTTAGTTAGGGAGACTATTTGGGCTATTGTCGGCAACATTGTGGATGATGTGAGATACTTGCTTGTGCAGTTTTCTTTAAAGGAAGTCCAATTTCGACCTATGGAGTGTAACAAAGTGGCTCATGCTATTGCCCGTTTTGCTCTACACGAACAAGGTCCTTATTATTGATTAGAGGAAGGCCATGTGTGGCTAATGACATATATTCTTGATGACCTTATTGTAACCAATGCTTCCGGTTAATGAAATTTACTTCTTTTCGATCTATTAAAAAAAAAAAAAAAAAAAAAAATCTGGTATAATGTTGGTTATGTCTCTAGTTAGTTAAGGGGTATCTGTATCGACACCAAGAAAAATGGATATATCGGCCGATATTTTCATCCTTGAAGCCAACCTCATTAATGCAGCTGGTCTAGCTAACAAAAAGCTCTCACAAAATGTCTCTCATTATAATTTTGACTATCGCTTATATTAAAGTTTTATATTAAAAATAAAAAAATAAAAAAAACTAGCAAACTTGGAACTATTTTTCCCCGTCCAATACCAAAAGATCTTCAAGATTTTGAGGGCTTTTATTGTCTTTTTCATCCCAACAGGAGGGTAGTTGGCTAGCTAGTCTTGCTTGAAATTTCTCGTTTTAAACGTCTTGAGCCTATTGGCTGCTTATAAATTGCCTCCCTCTCTTCCTTATCCACTCCTTGTGTGTAAAGATAGCTAAGTGGGTAGCCTTCTTTTTATACAGAGTGATAGGCTGACTTATGTGTAGAGGGGTAGGATGGTT